CCGCCGCCGCGCACAAAGCCCCCCCACCCGGGCTCTCGGAACGCCGCCGCCGCCGCCGCCGCCGCCGCCGCCGCCGCCGCCAAATCCTCAGCCTCTCATTGGCCGCTGGCCGCGGCGCCTGCCGGGAAATGCAGTCCCGTGTTTGGGGGCAGGGGGTGCGAAAGGAGGAAGAAGGTAGTCAGCGGGGCGGAGAGGAGCTGCCCGAGAGAGTCTAGACGAGAAGTGAGACCGCAGGCGATAAAAGCAAAGACAGGAAGGAATGATATGAAGGGGAGCTTAAAAAAAAAAAAAAAAAAAAAAAAAAAAAAGACTTTAGAAAGCTAGGTTAAAGGTTGGGCCTGTGAGGTAAAATTGTGTTCGTGCGTGTTCTGATACTTATTAAATAACAGCACATAATAAACACCATATGGTACTCCTCAGAGTGACACTGCTGTACACTCCTTAGATGTTAGAAATAACCTACAAACGAGTGCCCGGTTAAGATGACCGGGAAAGAGAAGAACAATTTATGTGCAGCCTTGGCTGCCTTCTGTCCGACAGCTGTCAGAGAAGAGCTCCCTATTTCACAGGAGTCTGTGTCTGGAATCCGTGGCAGCAATTTCAGTTTTGAGCCTTGGGGGATAGTCGCTCATCCAGCCTCAGATGTGAGCCCCGGATGCCCCACCCCGCCCCCACACCCCGTCCCGCCCCACAATCTCAAGCCGTGGCGGCATCTCAGTCGCTATGAGGAAGCGCTGACCTCCCTGGCAGACACCGGGCCCCGCACGCCTTCTTCCTGCTCGCACTGCGGGCCCGGAGGCTTGTGGGTAACCAGGAGGACGTCGTCAACGCCGACTGCAGCCCGGACCCCAGGGACCGAGAGGGCTCAGTGTCCGTCACGTGCCTGGGTCCTCTGCTGCTCACAGCCAGACCTTCGCTTCCAGGGACGGGAGGGCATTTGTCCTCCACAGAGCTCACTCAAGCTTAAGAGGAAAAGAGACCCAAATTCTCTGTAACCCTCTAAGCGCTCCCCTTCTAGGAAATTTATGTTAAACAATAGAAGGTGTGTGACATAGTAAAGTAGCCTTGCAGGAGTGTGCGAAATTTGGTGATATTTCCTGGGGCCTGGTGGTAATGACTTAGAATGTTGCAGCACAAGAGACGTGAACGTACGAAGGAAACACAGCAGCAGAGAGACAGCGAAACCTATCCTCTGCGTTCTGGTCTGAGAATAAAGCCGTATCACTACTAGATGTTACACTCTGCACCGACATTATAGTTCTGGATCTGTTTGGCACGGCCACAAGAAATTCCTGATATTTTTATCTTAAATACCATATAAACAAGAAATTAAAAGACTCCTACAGATCAATTATTTTAATGATTACTAATTATGTTTCAGGGTTTTAAAAACATAACCCTGTTAATAATACTGCAGATGATATTGATAATTAAGTGTCTCATTACTGTCAACCATTAACTATTTCTAAACCTATTTCTATGGTTTGTGCAGTACCAAAAGTTAAAGGAATCAATCCGAATCTATTTTTGTTTACTTTACATGTCTTTTTAGAACACAGACATCTTAAAGGAGGACACCTGAGAGGTTAAATCTTTTTTTTTTTTCTCCTATGATCCTTTCCACCATCATCCTTCCTTTCCACCTTCCTGTAAACTCCTTGCTTTGTTGACAAACTGTTGCTTTGACCTGACACCTGGATTTTCCCCTTGAGGAGAATCTGATAAATTGTCCCCAGGGATTTTATTTTAATCTGCTTCTAAGTGACAAGAGTTTTAAAATTAAAGTTATGCTGGGGCACCTGAATGGCTCAGTCGGTTGAGTGTCCGACTTCGGCTCAGATCATGCATGATCTCACACCTTGTGAGTTCAAGCCCCGCATCAGGCTATGTGCTGACAGCTCAGAGCCTGGAGCCTGCTTCAGATTCTGTGTCTCCTCTCTCTGCCCCTCCCCCACTCGTGCTCTGTCTTTCTTCTCAAAAATAAATAAACATTAAAAATAAATAAAAAATAAATAAATGAAATTAGTTATGTCAAGTAGACGTATAATCTCTTCCTGCAAAACATTAGAAAATATATTGTTAATAATATTGGATCTTGAGTCATATTTAGAGAAACGGCCGTTAAAATTAATAATTTACATTTTTAGCATCTAACATCTTCTGAGGTTCAGATCATGCTTTCTCTTCTCCATACAAAATGAGCAAACAGTTCATTTGAAGACAGCAATCAAACACAATTCGCCTGGCCACAGTTATGGAGAAAAAAATTTTTTGTTTCTCTTCCAAAGATTATATCCAAAAACTCCTAACATGATAAATCACTTAATCATGAAAGTCAAAAAATTGCCAGGACTGAGAGCAGAAGGCAAACATTGCTTTGAACAAACAGATTTCAATAGGAAGGTTCTTAACCCTTCCCTTTTTAGAATAGGATTGCTGACATATGGCTGTGGTAGAAAATCTAGCTCATCTTTCCAATACTGAGCTTGGAATCGTTCATCTGGTTTATGAATACTTAATGATTTTCACTGTGCCTGGTTGTAAGTGAATACAATGCATGAATAAGAATATTTCCCGGTATAAAATGTCTCCCAGGGAACTGAAAGGAATATTTTTGCATCTTTATGATCTGTTCCAGAAAAGTACATGTTTATGATAGTGCAGTGATTAATTTATGGAATTAATTTGAAAATTATAACTACCTAGCCTTTTAGAGCTCAACATTTGCCATCGGGAATTTTCAGGAAAGGAAAGGTGAAGAGACCAAAGCTTTGTAGATTTTGTTAATTCTAGTAAACACAGAACGTGAAGTGAAACCTTTATGTGCAAACTCGGGCATCAGACATGCACAAAGGGCCCTCTCGTGGCCAAACTGAAAAGTTTTGCTTATTTAATATGGTTGATCTAACTGGTTATTAGCTGAAAAATGCTTTGTGGATTAAATGCAGTCTACATTAAAAAAAAAATAATAATAACTGAAATTCAATACCCGCCATCTTTCATTCTTACAAATGTGCAGCCCAGATGACTAGGGTCTGTGGTCAGCTCACATGTTAAGAGAAGTATTATCCGTGTGAAAGCGATTCCTTGTTGTCTGGTGTTAGTCCAAGTAGAGCCACTAAAAATGCTGTTTTTCTTCTAGAGCCAGAGGAAATGGATGAGTAGAAATAACAAGAGAGCGAGAATATTTCTGCATCTTTCACTTTTCCAAAATGGCTCAGTTACCCAACCTAGGAATTGAAGTGCCCCAAACCTGTAGTGCCTACGTCACTGTACGGCTACTATAATATACATCTTAAATGCTATTTGACATTTCTACAAAAACTACTATCATAAACAATATCTGTTAAGAACGGATTTATAAAGCAAATTACTTTAGTGGAATTCATATTTCCATATGAAGATTTCACAGCATTCCACTCTTAGGCCTCGGAGAAAGGAAAGGGATGTTTTCCTAACCATTCCCGCCCTTTCTGCCACTCCCTCTCCGCCTAGCTCTCGGCGCCACCCCAACCCCGGCAGTTGCTGATTCGGAGGGGTGGGGGTGGGGGAGTACACCAAAGTGATGTAATTCGTGACTTTAAGATGGTTACCATGGCGACTATCGGGCATATTACGCCATCGGTAGGGTAAGAGGTTCTTTAACCTTCAATGAGGGTTAGCCCACAGCTCATAGAGTGTGGACGGGCGAAAAAACGTCAGTCTTGCCCCCTCCCGCAGTACAGCCTCTTCTTAAACTGAGCCCAATAGAAAGGTCATTTAGCTGGTGGCAGCTGGACCTTCGCTGCCTCCAGGGCTGCCACAGCGAAGGACGCCCTCCCTCCCCGTAACCCGAGCGCTTATTGGTGGGTGGTGTCGTCACTCAGAGCGACGTAAAGGGTGAGGAAAGAGGTGGAGCCATAGAGACTTGGCCCGGGGCCCTTCTAGATGGGGAGCTGGGGGAGGGGAGACTGGGAAGGGACTGGAGGACTGAGGCAGCCGTTCCGGGGAGCCGGCCCAAGGAGGTAGGGGTGGGCGGGCCAAGTCCTCCAGCTGTTATTCGGAGGACTTCGCCTGCTTTTTTTTCCCTCCGGAGCCCGGTCCCGCCGCATCCTGCTCTTCCCATCAGCGTCCAGTTTTCCCGACAGCTTCCAGTTCCCCTCAGCACTCTCCTCAGCCCTTGACCTCGTGCCCCTGCCCGCCCCCCAACTTTGGAGCTCAACCTCCATTCCCCCTCCCTCGGTGCTTCGCTTCCTCTTTTCTCTTCCGTACCCCGCGCCCGGCTTCTCCTCGGCTTCCTTCCATAAACCTGGATCGCCTACAAGGTTGTCGCCCCCGTACCCGCATCATCCCCGCACCCAAACACAAAGAACCACCCCCCCCCCCCCCCCCCCGCCCCGAGACCCGGCTACCACAAACACAATCCTCCAACACACTACGTGCACAAAAGCCGAGAGCGCGTTTCGCCCCTGTGTCGTCAAGGGCCTGAAGCAAAGGTAACCCGGGGAGCCCGGGGCCCTCGGCGTGTGGGCGTGGGCGGCGCGATGGCGCAGGCGGGGCTCCCGGCAGTCCCCGCCTAGGAAGTGGTTGCCCACAGCTCCGGGCGGGAGCGCCC